AGCCTCGCCTCAGCGGGCACACTCATGTGAATATTCTGGCCAAAGAGACTTTGGGCAGAAGTTTGCAAAAGGGCTCCTAGGCAGACTTTTGTTTTTCTAAATAAAAAGGAGAGAAAAGATGGCACCTGTCTTTTCCTACCCCCTTACAATTCCCAGAGCGTTCTATCAGTCAGGCATGCAGCACCTCACTCTCAAATACAAACAAAGAGCCAAGGATCACCAGGGTCTGATAAACACAAGGAAAAGACAGAGCACCTCAGACTAACATGACATTTGGGCAAAACCAGTAATCTTCAAACTCTGCTAATGTGAGATTTAAAACTTTTGGTTTTTTGTTTTAGTCACTTTCTTCTACATACGGTAGGCCCAGGCATTAGCTGGTGGAAAAACAAGTAGAACGAAGAAGTAAAAATGACAAGCAGTGCCAGAGCAGGGGAGGTAGAACGATTTCTGTGGCAATTTATTAGGCCCAGGTAGCCGGTTATAATATAGTCTTGGCCGGGTGCGGTGGCTCACGCCTGTAATCCCAGCACTTTGGGAGGCCGAGGCGGGCGGATCACAAGGTCAGGAGATCGAGACCACGGTGAAACCCCGTCTCTACTAAAAATACAAAAAATGAGCCGAGCGCGGTGGCGGGCGCCTGTATTCCCAGCTACTCGGGAGGCTGGGGCAGGAGAATGGCATGAACCCAGGAGGCGGAGCTTGCAGTGAGCCAGGATTGCGCCACTGCACTCCAGCTTGGGCGACAGAGCGAGACTCAGTCTCAAAAAAAAAAAAATATATATATATATAGAGTCTTGTCTATGTTCATTTATATCAAAAGCCAAGCACATAATACTAACATGCATATTGCAAAAGTCTATCTTTGGAAAAAAATATATAGGAAATGGAGAAGCTCCCCCACACAGTTTGAATAGGATGCAGATTCCCAACTAAAATTTTTTCATGTAATTGTTCAAATGTCTAGTTTTGTTGATATTTCCCTAAGGAACCTATGATCTGTATTAAATGCTTACATTCACTCTCCAGGACATGTGTACTTTCAGCCATGAAAAAATGGCAAATCATTTAAGTTGCTTCATTTGTTTTTAAAAAAAGGTCCAACGTGTCGTGGTAGGAATTTGGTTTGCATCCATACCCAGTGCCACCCGACCCTGCTCTACACTAAAGCTTCTCAGGCTTCCATAGAGAAAATATACTTTCAAAAAGGAGGAACCAACTTGCCCCAGTCTCTGAGGGGCAGGAAGTTTATAGAAAATTCACCCTAAGAAGGGGGAGATTGAAGTGACTGGGACACTGATTGATGGTAGGCAGGGGACAAAGCTTTTGAGTGAAACACATGGTGTTGTCCTTAAAATATCCTCTTAGTCAATCGCTGAGAATCCTGTTCAGGTCATCAAAGTTGCTGATGCAAAAATTAAGCCAATCTAGCCTTTGGGGATTTACTAAAAACAGATCTCATGGCCAGGCACAGTGGCTCATGCCTGTAGTCCCAGCATTTTTGAAAGGCCTATGTGGGAGGATCACTTGAGGCCGGGAGTTCCAGACCAGCCTGGCCCACATGGCAAGACCCTATTCTCTACCAAAAATGTTTAAAAATGAGCTGGGCATGGTGGCCTGTGCCTGTAGCCCTAGCTACTCGGGAGGCTGAGGCACAAGGATCACTTGAGCCCAGGAGGTAGAGGCTGCAGTGAGCTATGATTGTGCCACTGCACCCCAGCCTGGGTGACAAAGCAAGACCCTGTCTCTAAAAAAATAAAAATAAAAACAAGTCTCAGGGTTAGCTGAAAACCTTCCCTCCCAACCACCACCTCCACTTCCCACCATGGGAAAACAAAAACAAAACCAAACAATGCCAAGGTCAGGAGAGTCCTTGGAAGCAAGGGAGGGGGCAGTGATGGCTGAGTAGCAAGAAGACAGTCTTAAAGCCACCAGGCAGAGTCCCCAAGTATCTGGGAGGCTGTTAAAGTATGAGATAAGAACTTTCAATCCAGTAAATTAATCTACCACGTTGGGGCTTAAAGTTAGAGAAAGATTCTCATTTTCACTGCAGTTGCTCATACCCTTGTTTGTCCTCCCTATCTGGTAGGCCCAAAGCAGGGATAGCAGAAATGCCACCCACACCCATACACACATAAATACACACACACTCTCCATTGGCCACTTGGCAGATCCTCATAAGTCATAGTTCTATGGCTCATAGTCTAAGAAGAACAGTCTTACATGAAAAGAATCTACCTCTACTGGCTGACATTCTAGTAAAGAGAAAACGGCTTTAACATATCTGTGCTTTGTTGTGTTTGAAAAGGAGCAAATATTGATTGCTGCCTTGAACCTAAGTCCTAATGCTTGATAGTAACAGCAATAAAAATAGAGATATAAACTTTTAATTTTAAAAAAGTTCATTCATAACTAATTTCTATGCATATATCATTATCAAACTAATAGAATTCTGTCTTAATGTTTAGGGAGAAAATTTCCAAAGAGCTTCTAGGCAGGTAACCTTATGGAAAGCACGGCAAGAAAAAGACCCATGTCACAAGTAATATACTAGTAAAAGCCAGATGACTTTGAAAAGAGAACACTTGCTTCTGTGGACACAGGCTTCATTCCTACACCTGGCAATAGGTGCACACTGGCAAAAGCATATACAAGTATATGCCATTGGTTCCAAAATAACAGTCCAGGGAGTCAATGTTGTTTATCACAACCACTGGAAAATAATATGGTAACACTATCTTCATTCACTCACATCTAACAAACATTTCCTGAACATTTACCAAGAGCTAGACACTGTCATAGGCAATGGCGCGGGGCGTGGGCGGGGTAGAGCAGTCCCGACAAAACTCCCTGCCTTCGCGGAGCTTATATTCCAGTGAAGAAGACAGACAGTAAGTAAAATACACAGTCTGTTTATTGGTGATAAGTGCAAAGGAGGAAAATGAAATAGGAAAGTACGTGGGATGGAGGCTGCAGGGCAGGTTTTCATTTTAAGCAGTGTGGTCAAAGAAAGCCTCATAACATTTGAGCAAAGACCTGCTATATAGATATCAGAGGGCAGAAAGGCCCAGAAGTCGGAAACAGCAAGTGCAAAGGCCTGAAGTTAGAAAGTCTGATGAGTTCACACACAATAATGACGTGGGTTTGGCTGGAGAGGAAGGAGTAACACAGAGAACATTGACAGATGAATTGAGATGGTAATAATAAAACCAGAATACGGCCGGGAGCGGTGGCTCACGCCTGTAATCTGAGCACTTTGGGAGGCCGAGGCGGGCGGATCACGAGGTCAAGAGATGGAGACCATCCTGGCTAACACGGTGAAACCTTGTCTCTACTAAAAATACAAAAAAAAAAAAAAAAAAAAAAAAAAAAATAGCCAGGCGTGATGGCATGCGCCTGTAGCTATTCCCAGCTACTCAGGAGGCTGAAGCAGAAGAATGGCGTGAACCCAGGAGGGGGAGCTTGCAGCGAGCTGAGATCGCGCCACTGCACTCCAGCCTGGGCGACTGAGCGAGACTGTCTCAAAGAAAAAATAAATAAATAAATCAGAATACACAGAGCCTTGAAGGCCAATGTAAAAGTCTGGCTTTTGCTGTCAGTGATTCTCAGAGCCACTGGGGGTCTATAGCTGAGGAATGCTATCTAATTTTCCTTTTAACTGGATCACTTTGACTCCCTCCCACTCGAAATGGTGGAAGAACAAGAGCAGAAGTAGAGATGCTGCTGGTCAGAACCAAGGTGACAGCAGTGGTATTCTTACTGTAAGAGAGGTTGGTAGCTAGATATACTTGAAAGACAGCTTTTGCTGATGCATTAGATATGAGATATGAGGGAAAGGAAAAAGCCAAGATTACTCCAAGGTTTTTGGCCTGGATGGTGCTATCACTGAGACTACGGAAACTTATTAAGGAAGAATCCGTTTTGTGGAAAAGATAGTAGTTTTTAAAATGTCAAATTTAAAACATGAAAGATACATTATTGAATTTGTGGATCTAAAGTTTGGGGATGAGGTGTGGACTGGAGATTAGTTTCTGAAGAGCTCAAGAAAACCATAAGGCGGGGTAACAGAGAACAGAAAGGATTAAAGGACCTAGTCCTGAGCACGTCAAGATTAACAAATTAGAAGCACGTGTGTGCGGGCATTTAGGGCAGACTAATAGAACTTCCCTAAAGTGGGGTCAAAATAGACACTTTTCTATCTTTAGAGCCCAGTACAGTGCCTGGGAAATTATGGGTGGTAAATAAACAGGAGACTACTTCGACAGGAACTTAACGAATGTCTATTCCGTTCTAGCAAAAGCGCCAGGTACTGCAGAAGCCGTAAAGAACAAGTGCAAATTCCTGACACCTATATTCTGGTAAGCAAGCCAGGCAGGATTAACTGGGGGTAAAAATCAAACATTAACGCCGAAATAGCCTTCCCAGGAACCTATTAACCTCCAACTTAACACATAAATAAAGGTGGTATTGGGCTTATCTGGAGGCTTCAGCGACTATCTCCCATACCTCAGCTGGAGCCAGGCCAATGCAAACTTCACTCCTAAATGGCTTTCATCAGCAGCCAACGCCGAAGCGCCTTAAATCAGGGCCCTGAGGTCCAGGGAGTGAGACTGGACTCCGTTAGGACAGGGAGAGGGCGCCAGGGAGTGGTGACTGTCCTTATCTGAGCCGACGCCTCTCCCCAACGAGCCTCCGACCACAGCTCACCCGCCCAGGGCCCGGCAGCCTCACCCTACAGTCCATCTGTCCGCCTGAGGCTCCGTACTGCTACAGGCTGGCGGGTTTCCTTGAAACTAACACCGCGTTTTAAACCAACCCGCTCCCCGGCGCAGTAGCTCCGGTACGCAGGCGCACCCGTGGCAGGGCATGTCGGGAACTGTAGTTTAGCCGGCCCAGGAGGGCCCTCCGCCCTGGGCGGGACCCAGGCCGGCATCCGGCGGCGCTCAGGGAATGCGTAGCGTCGTGAACCGAATGACGACAGGCTCCATTGTGCTCTCGAGCGGGGCACGCCGGGATATGTAGTTTCTGGCCGCTGCCCTCCGGGAGGTCCTGTGCTATCTACTTCACAGTGACTTGTCTCTGCCTGGTGAACTCACGGTGTTCTGCTAATCTTGGTAAATACATACCCTACAGCAGAGTAACGAGCATAAAAATTAGTTAAAAATTCAGAGCTTAAGCATTCTTCTTGTTAAAGGAAAAATCATGTCCCTCTTCGTCCTCGCCCATGATGGCCGCATGGAGAGTAAAACACAGAAATGTGCTGTCTGGTCTTTCGTCTCTTCAGCATGAATTATTTCTTGCCCTGTCGACAAGTTAATAGGTATTTGTAAATTTGAGTGTTAAGTAGCTATGAAACGAAAAAGAGCATTGAACTGTCCCTGGTTTTTTTGGTGGTTTGCTTTTTTGAGATAGGGTCTTCCTCTGTGGCCCAGGGTGGATTACAGTGGTGCGATTTCTGCTCACTGCAGCCTCGACCTCCCGAGCTCAAGCGATCCTCTAATCTCAGCCTCCCCCATAGCTGGGCCCACAGGCACGCGCCACCACGTCTGGCTAATTTTTGTATTTTTTCGTGGAGGCGGGGTTATCACCATATTGCTCAGGCTGGTCTGGAACTCCTGGGCTCAAGCCATACGCCCACCTCGGCCTCCCAAAGTCCTGGGATTACAGGTGTGCATCACCACACCAGCGTTTCTGAGTTGTTTTGCTTTAAGAATATGTATTCTCACTTAAGGGAAAGACTTCTATAGTGCAAAGACAACGCAGCTTTGCGTTTTGGTAGCTGGAAGAACACCTGTTATCCGTGCCAGGGCAATTAAAATGCATTTCTCTCTTCTCCCTGAGAGTGCGGCCAAGAATCACTTCAGCCCTCTCATATAAGCAATCAGATCCGACATGAGACCTCATTTACTTAGCCTGACACTTGATCTTGCTATTCTAATTCTTTTCATAGCCAAGCCTCAACGTGAGATGGAGAGACTGCCCATCAAACCACAGCCATATTCATCAAGCTTTGAGCCGATCCGGTGAAGGAGAAATGAGCACTGCATACATTTCAGGGAAAGGGACCAAATAAAGCTTTTAATAGGAAATGAAAATGTGTTTTTAAAGCGTCAGTGCAAAGAGCCAATTATTTTTATTATGTATGTTTTATCTTACAATGACCTCTGGTTTATCAGTGGAATTAAGAATTGGGTGATAAGTGTATCCACGTGTTTCTGTGTAATGAGAGTTTTCACCTTCTCCTCAAATCTGCATATTAAGAAGCAGTCAGGGAACCAAACTGATTAAATTCGTGTTTTTCATTTGTTTTCCCCTATTCACCATGTGGCAAACTGTATAAGAACTTAAGCAATTACAAAGTTAGAGAAAAGGACCCGAAGTCTTCAATAAACTTGAAACCGGGGAGTATAGTCTTCCAACTTTGTCCTTTTTCAAATTTGTTTTGGCTGTTCCTTTAACTTTCTAGTTCCTTTACCTTTCTCCCAAATGTTTTGAATCAACTTGTTGATACCTACAAAAATTCTGCTAGGATTTTGATTGAAATAGTGCTGAACATACCGATTTTCTTGCTGATTTCCCTCTTGATTTTCAGTTGATAAATAGTTCTCAGACATTACCCCGTTTATCAAAGCAGATCATTTCATTCATGGAAATCCTAGATATTTTGTGAGGACCACATTCTCTTTCACTACAATAGCCTCCTAACTGGTTTTCCTATTACTCCTTCCAAAGTATCTTTCATATGGCTACCAGATCTTTTACAAAAGTAAATCTCATTATCTCAGGCCTTTGCTTAAAAGCATTTAATGGTTCCCCCATTGAATTAAAAGTTTTCCGTTGAGCAGGATGAAGATCAAACTGGTAATAGCTTCAGCTGAACCCTCCAGGCTCCTCTGCACCTAGTGCCCCAGTGGAACTCTGAATTCAAGCCTGCTAGCATAGAATGTCTTTGTGCTTGCAGGTTATGCTCACTCTGCTGGGAATGGCCTTCCTCTTGTCAGTCTCACTAGCTCAACAGAAACAGCCTCTTCTGTGAAGCCATTCTATTCTCTCCCAAAGCACTTCATAATTGTCAATGTATCTTATTTCCCCTTATATGAGCTGTAAGCTACTTAAGGACAGGAATTTTTGTTTATTTTCAACACCAAGTACAATGCCCGGCACACATTAGGGGTTTGGAAAGTTTTTGTTAGGTGAGTGAATGAATACATTTTGAACGGCTCTACTAATAGAGGCTGTGTTTCACTCTCTGCTTGTAAGCCAGGAAAAGGCCTCCAAATAGAATATATGCTGCTGATGATTTGACATTGGAGTTACACGAATGGCAGTAAAGTTACCTGCAACTGCTTCACCTTGGAGTTGGAAATGTATTCCGTGGACAAATAAATGCAAACAAAACACCCAAAGTTTTCATATCTTGTTGGTACAATAAAGAAATAAGAATGGCAAATTCACTAGCTGGTTCCTTGCCTTGTGTGGGCAATTCAGATATTTTGGTAAAGTACTGGCTCTGGGTATAGAGATTAGGATTGAAAGAGTCTTTGACTTTTTAATGAACTGGTGAATCAGCCCAAGGCTGAGAAGATAATTCTGTTAATTGAATTGGCCAAGGGTAACAGTGTTTCTTTTTTTTTTTTTTTTTTTTTTGGCCTTCTCTGATTCATGCTTTTCTTTTTTTTTTTTTTTTTTTTTTTAATTTATTTATTATGATTATACTTTAAGTTGTAGGGTACATGTGCATAACGTGCAGGTTTGTTACATATGTATACTTGTGCCATGTTGGTGTGCTGCACCCATCAACTCGTCATTTACATCAGGTATAACTCCCAATGCAATCCCTCCCCCCTGCCCCCTCCCCATGATAGGCCCCGGTGTGTGATGTTCCCCTTCCTGAGTCCAAGTGATCTCATTGTTCAGTTCCCACCTATGAGTGAGAACATGCGGTGTTTGGTTTTCTGTTCTTGTGATAGTTTGCTAAGAATGATGGATTCCAGCTGCATCCAAGTCCCTACAAAGGACACAAACTCATCCTTTTTTATGGCTGCATAGTATTCCATGCTGTATATGTGCCACATTTTCTTAATCCAATCTGTCACTGATGGACATTTGGGTTGATTCCAAGTCTTTGCTATTGTGAATAGTGCTGCAATAAACATACGTGTGCATGTGTCTTTATAGCAGCATAATTTATAATCCTTTGGGTATATACCCAGTAATGGGATGGCTGGGTCATATGGTACATCTAGTTCTAGATCCTTGAGGAATCGCCATACTGTTTTCCATAATGGTTGAACTAGTTTACAATCCCACCAACAGTGTAAAAGTGTTCCTATTTCTCCACATCCTCTCCAGCACCTGTTGTTTCCTGACTTTTTAATGATGGCCATTCTAACTGGTGTGAGATGGTATCTCATTGTGGTTTTGATTTGCATTTCTCTGATGGCCAGTGATGATGAGCATTTTTTCATGTGTCTGTTGGCTGTATGAATGTCTTCTTTTGAGAAATGTCTGTTCATATCCTTTGCCCACTTTTTGATGGGGTTGTTTGTTTTTTTCTTGTAAATTTGTTTGAGTTCTTTGTAGGTTCTGGATATTAGCCCTTTGTCAGATGAGTAGATTGCAAAAATTGTCTCCCATTCTGTAGGTTGCCTGTTCACTCTGATGGTAGTTTCTTTTGCTGTGCAGAAGCTCTTTAGTTTAATGAGATCCCATTTGTCAATTTTGGCTTTTGCTGCCGTTGCTTTTGGTGTTTTAGACATGAAGTCTTTGCCCATGCCTATGTCCTGAATGGTACTACCTATGTTTTTCTTCTAGGGCTTTTATGGTTTTAGGTCTAACATTTAAGTCTCTAATCCATCTTGAATTAATTTTCGTATAAGGAGTAAGGAAAGGATCCAGTTTCAGCTTTCTACTTATGGCTAGCCAATTTTCCCAGCACCATTTGTTAAATAGGGAGTCCTTTCCCCATTTCTTGTTTCTCTCAGGTTTGTCAAAGATCAAATGGCTGTAGATGTGTGGTATTATTTCTGAGGACTCTGTTCTGTTCCATTGGTCTATATCTCTGTTTTGGTACCAGTACCATGCTGTTTTGGAGTAACAGTGTTTCTTATAAGGTCTCTGTCACTTAGCTCCACCAACTAAATTTTATAGTCAGGTAGATTTTCACCTTGTTCCGTTAACCAAACTTATGAATAAGGTCAAGGCTATGATGATGATGCTGCAGCTTTATTTTACATTTCCTAAGATTAAAGTACTCTTTGGTACTTTATCATATCACCACACTTGATTCTGAGTGTAACCTTTGGTGTAGTAGTTATATTCTCATTTTACTGATGAAGTAACTGACACGGGGGAAAGTTAAGCAACTTGCCTAAAGGCCATACAGCCAATAAGTGACAGAATGGGTGTTTGGAGTTGGCTGTGTCTCGCTTCAAAGCCTATGCATTTTGGTTAGACTCCATCCCCTACCATTCTCCACCCCATCTGACAGCAGTGGGGTAAGACAGAATTTACAGCATCTAACTATGCAATGAGAAATATATGAATTAACTTCACACAATCAACTACCACGTTTATCAGAGAAAATAACGAAATCCAGGTGTTGGTATGTGAGTATTTGCTATGCTATTCTTATAAATTTTCTGTATGTCTAAAATTGTTTTCATGATAAAAAATTTTTATGAGGAAAATTCCTATATACTTATGGAAAATTCTATAGGACATATTTTAAGTTGAACAAGTGAGGTACTGTGTAACACCAGGGGGGATAAGAATTTTATATTTGCATAAATAAGCACTGGGAATATACACAAATCAATAAAAGTATCTTTTATTACCCGTGTAGATAGTGTGACCATATAATTTTTCATCCAAACCAAGATAACATATCTCTCCACATGTCTAAGGTCTTCTTTGATTTCTTTAATTCGTGTCTTACAGTTTTCAACATATAGATACTATATATTTTGTTAGATTTGTATTTAAGTTTTCTACCTTTTGTTAATAGTTTTTTAAAAATTTCAAATCCATTGTTTGTTGCTAGTATATAGAAATATAATTGACTTTTGTATTTTGATCTCTTATCCTATGACCTTGCTAAACTCCCTTACTAGTTTTAGGACTAGCTTTAGAGATTTTTTAATATGTTATTTGGGATTTTTTTACATAAATAATTCTGTCACCTGCAAATAGAGTTTTTTCTTTCCCCTTTTGATTGGAGTGACTTTTTCTTGCCTCGTTGCACTGGCTAAAACTTTTACTATGATATTGAATAGCAGTGGTGAAAGAAGGATGTCCTTATCTTGTTCCCATCAAGTATGATGTTAGTCACAGGTTTTTATAGTTGTCCTTAATCATATCCAGGCAATTTCCTTTCATTTCTAGTCTGCTGAGAGTTTTTGTTGGAAAGAAATTTGAATTTGTCAAATGCCATTTAGATAATCATGCTTTTTTTCTTTAGTTTGGTAATCTGGTAAATTATATTGGTTGACTTTTCCCAAATTGAAACAATCTTGTATTCTTTGGATAAATCCCACTTAATCATTCTGTATTTTCCCTTTTTATATATTTCTAGACCAAATTTACTAATAATATGTTGAGTATTTTTGTGTCTATGTTTGTGGGCAATATTGGTATTTTTCTTTTTCTTTTTCTTTTTCTTTTTTTGGAAACAGTCTCACTCTGTCACCCAGGCTGGTGTGCAGTGGTATGATCTCAGCTCACTGCAACCTCTACCTCCTAGGCTCAAGCAATTCTTGGGCCTCATCCTCCCAAGTAGCTTGGACTACAAGCATGCACCACCACACCCAGCTAATTTTTGTAGTTTTAGAAGAGAAAGGGTTTCACCTTCTTGGCCAGGCTTGTCTCAAACTCTGGACCTCAAGTGATCTGCCCGCCTCAGCCTCCCAAAGTGCTGGGATTATAGGCGTGAGTCACCGCACCTGGCCTGGTCTTTATTTTTCTTTCATTATACTGTTGTTATTGGGTTTTGTTATTAGGGTAATGCTAGCTCCATAAGCTGTATGGGGAAGTGTTTCCTTCTCTTATAAATTCAGAAAAAGGTTGTATAGAATTGTTATTGTTTCTGCCTTAAATG